AACTAATAAAAGCATCAATATAATAAAAATTAAAAACTGTCCTTTCCATCTCACCTATTATTATGACCAAAGTAACCACTTTTCTTTGGTAAAGGAATACATCCCAGGAAGAGAAGTAGGGTTGACCAGAAAGCTGAGTGAGGCATCTGTTGTTTTTAAACATAGAAACGGACTTTTGCCAAATCATGTTAGGAAGGTTACATTCTTATGGTTAAAATATGAGATTCTACCATTGCTTTTGTTGTGTGTTTAAAGTGGCTTTCAATATAAAATTCTCTAGGTAATGTAGTTCAAGAGCTTCTCCTGGGTTTACACATATAATAAAAATCCAAATACAGTGGTACCTCTGTTGGTGAACTTATTTATTTCCATGATTCTGGTCACAAACCAGATTGCATGAGAAACAAATCAAATTCCATGGTTAGGGTCAACATTGGCTTTACTGCGAAAGTTGATTTGGTTCTCGTCTAGTTTGGTTTGCGACCAGAATCATGGGAAGAGTTAAGTTTGTGAACTGAGGCACCACTCTCTACAGTTATAAAGCATTGACTGATTAGGTTTTTCTTTTCTTTTTCTATTTTTTTTTTTTTTTTTTTTTGTATTTTAGGGAAGGGTTTACAGTGTGTTCAGGGTCTCACTACTAGATCGGATTCATAGTGATCCACCTGTTTACAGCCTCCCAAGAGCTGGGATTACAGGCACGCACCACCATGCCCAGCCTCAATTGCCATCTCGGCGTGCCTCGGAGGAGGTGCCAGCACAGGAGGGCTGGGGTTTGAACCCCTGGCCCTTGTGCCTGCTTGCAGTCACTTTAATCTGCCGAGCTATTTGGCCAGCCTTTGATTAGAGTTTTCATCGCAAAGTAACGTGTGCTTTTAAAGGAAAATTACAGTTATGCATAAGAATGGCATTTCTTTTTACTATACAGTTAGTATGGTTAATTTGGTATCTTTCCAGGCCTTTCTCTGGACATGCACAACCACATCAATGTGTGTTCAGCCTGGGTCTGCATGATGCATAGGATATCATGGTGGGGTATATTGTAGATAGAAAGAGCCATGAAAGGGGGAGTCTTCAGTGATCCCTTAATATATTGTCTTAGACATAGGCAGTAATTTGGTGGAAACTTTAAGGATTTAGACATTTTCCAAATTTGTACATGCGATATTTTTGATGTTAGATGTTCCATTTCTTGTATTTAAAAAAATTCATGACAGAATAACTTATACTTCAGAATGCAATTTAACACTCTGAGGTAGGAGAAAACACTAGAAACCTGTGTTTTTATCCCATCTGGAGACATCCTCCTGGAGCAATAGTGGTGAACCTATGGCACATGTGTTATTTTTCTTTTTAAGGCAAAGCATGTTAATGTTCAAGTTATTTTTTCTAAACCTGAGTATTCAGGTGTAATTGTAGTGTTGGCACTTTGTGATAAATAAGTGGGTTTTTGGTTGTAGCTTGGCATCTTTCTCTAAAAGTTTCACTGTTACTATTCTAGCAGCTGTGTTTAACCAAAATGAAGTAGTTTTGGGATTATAATGGGTAACTTCTGAAGGATCTAAATGTATCGGGAGATAGGTATCCCAGGTACTTCTTGTATCTTATGAACTCACCACAGCAACTTCTGAGGTCCTGTAGTAACACTGATTTTGCAGGAAAAGAAACAGGTGTTTCAAGAACTCAAGTGAGCTACCCAAGGTTACACAGCTGCTAAAGAGTAGAGCCAGTACTGAAGCAAGTCCACTTGCTTTTCTTTTTGTATTGTGTCTTTTTGAGACAGGGTCACACTATACAGATCAGGCTGACCTTAAGCTCACTTTGTAGCCCAGGCTGGTCTTGAACTCACAACGATCCTCCTGCTTCAGCCTCCCAAGTGGAAGCAAGTTCATTTTACTCAGGGCCTATAGTCCTTTATTTTTAAATAAAACATTTACCATTTAATTACAATTTAGTGCGTTAAGTGCAACCATCGTGAATTTGCCTTCTCTGACTACTTTGTATAAGTAGATCCATACAACATTAGTCCTTTTTGTATCTAGTTTATTTTGTCGAGGGTAGTGTCTTTAAGATTTAACCATATTGTAGCATGTATCACAATTTAATTTTTAAAATATTGAACAATATTCTATGGTGCTATTTTGTGTGTGTGTGTGTGTGTGTACTGCACACCATCTTAATTATCTGTTCATCTGTTGGCGTGCATTTAGGTTGCATCCACATTTTGGCTGCTGTAGATAATGTTCCTATGGACATTAGCTTGCAGTTACTTGTTGGAGTCCCTGCTTATGGTTGAGTATTTAACTAGCAGTGGAATTGCTGGACCACCTACTGATTTTATGCCCAACATTTTGAGGAGCTGCTCTGCTCTTTTCTACTGTTGCTGTGCTGTTTTGTATTCCTACCAGCAGTGGTTCAGGTTCTAGTTTCTCCATATCCTCAAAATAATGGCATGCAGGATATCATGTCTGCATCTTGTACTATGAATAATTACTATGAAGACAACAATATGTGATGTATTAATTATTGTAACTGTCCTACTAACCTGTTTTGAAACCGTCTCATTGCTATTTGTTTCTCAATAAAATTAATAAAAAAAAATAAGGGCA